CAACCCGATACAGGGTTTCCAAGACTGTAAATCTTCATAGAAACAGAAAGCCTCATCTTTCTCTTGAAGAGCAATTGGTGGGTTTGAACTTACGCCCCTACCATTAACAATCTCTCCCTTACCTCATTGTGCCAACAAATGCTCCTTCCATTCATCAAAGAACCATTTATAAGAGTATTTTAGCAAGAGGGAGTGCACAGAAGGAATAACCCAGGGAGAATTATACTAGACAGAATGAAATTTGGCAAGATGAAAGTTTGGCTGGGGTTCTGAAGTAACCACATGGCATTTTATGTTCAGCACATTGACAGAAAGTGGAAGAACATACATTAATTTTTTCCCTTTTCACCTTAAAGTCAGAGACCCAAATTTACCGTATTAAAATATTCCATTCCTGAGCTGCTGAAGGCTTCTGCGATTTCTTTGGTTGTCACCACACATGCCATTGGGTGGCCGTTACCCATGGGTTTTCCCATGGTGACGATGTCAGGTACAAAGTCTTCACCGCACATCTGGAAGCTCCAGAAATGTTTCCCAACTCGGCCAAAGCCCACCTGAACTTCATCAGCTATAAACACACCCCCTGCTCCATGTACATATCTGAAACGCAATGGAGAAATCTAACATTTTCAGTTCACTGAAAGCCCCCTAGAAAATGGCTGAAGACTTCAAAGGAGTTTAATTTGTAGCCTGTGAACTGTGTTAAAAATAGCCCTATCTCCAAAACTCACAATGAACTCTATGTGATGTCATTGATTTTCCACATCATCACGCAGTTTCTAGATTAGGTATGTCCCACATTATGTGACTTTGTGCTGCTAAACGTAAACTGTGTCATCCTTTACACGGGAAGAGAAAGAATTGAACAAGATGTCATTTTTGGAAGGACCATTTTGCAAGTATTTACTAATTATGAAAGCTTGGGTCCTAGCCAATGGGCGATGACACCAGTCCGAAGGCTGGAGCAGAGTCCTGCAGTCCCTGTTGGACTAGAAGCTCTGCTTTAGGGTTGACCTTGATGCATGATGACCCTCTGTGTGTCAGTCAGGCTTCGCGCCATAGGATTTTCAAGAGTTGGTTCTTGGAAAGTGGATCGGGAGCCCTTTCTCTGGAGGGGTCTCTGGGGACATTCCAACTTCCAACCTCTTGGTTAGCAGGCAGGCAAGTTAACCCATTTTCACCACCCAGAAACTCCGCTGGACCAGTTATAAAGCCTTCATTTGCTACATCAGGGACAGGAGGAGGCATTTCTAAAATGCAGGAGTGGTTATTGCCAGTGAATCTGGAAGTATCCCACTATTTTAAAAACCAGGATGGTCCTATACAAGTGTACCTGTCTTGGTTTTCAGTAGGGGAAAAAGCCCAAACAAACTCCCCCAAAAAACCTCTCACGGTGCCCTCCGTTTGACCAAGGATGCCCAAGTACATACTTTGCCACTTTCTGGAAGTAGCCTGCTGGAGGGATTATTTGTCCGCCACAACTCTGCATGGATTCAGCAATAAAGGCAGCAATCTATGTAAGAGAAGATGGGGTCAAGGTCCGTTAGGTTCCCATTCTACCCACTAAAACAGAAGATTCCTTATAGAGCACAGTATTTAAAAATCAGTCGGTCATAGATCAGTGGCAAATTACAAGTAGGTCTCTGATGAAAAAAACATGAAGAAAGAAGAGGAGAGCGGTCTATCAGGGAAAAGCTAGTGGTCCAGAGCACTTGTTTCTGAAACTGCACGGAGAGAATGCAAGAAAGCCACCATGAGAAACGGAGATGAAAGTGAGAGGTTGCTTGTCATTTCTTCCCAATGAATTTCAATGCAGTGTTTCACTAAACCAAAAAGCAAACACCCTGTCTTTGAGTCACTTTTGATACCTGGTAACCACATAGAGGACCTTCTCAGAGAACTTTATCTTTTGCCCGTGGAGTGGCTGGTGGGTTGGCACCATCGACCTTGTAGTTAGCAGCGCACTGCCTCATCACCAAGATTTCTTTAAGAGAACTAAATCAGAGTGATATGATGACTTGTCTTTGATATGAACTTTTAGGAAAACGAACCAGCTTCCAGCAGGTGCCTGCTTTCTTAGACTGGAGAAGGAGGATTATGTGAGGATATGTTTTGCATTAAGGAGATGGAAGGATGTGGCCAACGACCACAATTATCATTGCAAAATTTCAAGTTCTTGGCCTGAACCAGAACAGAATTGGGCAGTTTCACAAAGGGTGTCCTGTAGGTTCAAAAGGAAGCATAGAAAGTAGATACTGTTAAACAAGAAGAGAAAGCTCAGACAGCACAGGAGAAAAGAATTCATCGGGGCTGAAGTTCTAGTCCTCTGACCACACTTTATAAAAAAGTATTACTTGGGTTATCCTTCACTTTTAAATTATTCAGTTAACTTAACCGGAAAAGTAAACCAATAAGCCAAAAAAAATTCCGCCAAGCAAATTCAAAAACCTAAAAAGAAAATTAAAAATTTGAAAAAACCAACCTCCAATTGGGGGGTGGTTTTAAAAAACCGTAAAAAAAACGAACCCCCCAACGCCAACCAAGTGAATCCAAACCAACAAGAACCTATAGGATAGAGGAGAGCTGGCCCTTTGAGACTTCAAGGCTGTAAATTTTGGGAGAAGCAGAAAAGCTCATCTTTCTTCCTGGGATGGAGTTCAAACTGCTGAACTTGCATAACCCACTCTGCCACCTTGGCTCCTACAGGGGCAGCATCAGTCCAAAACTGTTGAATGCTAGTGATCCCAGAAAATGACTCCAATTCTCTTTCAGGAGCATAAGTCTAGTATAAAGTTCCCCACGATGAGTAACACTTTAAACCTCAAACCAAACTCACTGCCCTCCAGTGGCATGTGGCTTGTGGCAACCCTTGAATAAAGTAGAATCATCCCTGTGGCTTTCCAAGACTGCAACTCTTCCTGGGAGTAGAAAACTTCAACTTTCTCCCAGACTGGTTTCGAACGGCTGATCTTGCAGTAAGCAGCTCAATGTGTAACCCACTATGCCACCATTTCTTGTTCTTTTTCTTCCTATGCACAGATATATTGCACAGGAAGCTATAAAAATTGAATGGGAGGAAAAACAAGAAGAATGAGAAATACAAATGATGCTCCAGCCAACAAGACAATAATATTTAAATTCACTGGAAAAAGGAAAGGCCCAAACTTTATCTCAACGAAGCATCTTTTTATTGATACATCTAAGCCATACACCCTCTTTAAAGGCAATGAATGTGATAAAATGCATTAAAACTCCACATACGAAGCCTCAAAATGACGGAGAAATCAGGTAGAGATGAGAAAACAGAAGCTCCTGCCACTGCTCTCAAGGATGTTGGCTTTGTCTCAGAAGTTCACGTGCACATTGGAAGACCATCCCTGTGCCTTCACCTAACCAGGAGCAGAGCATCCCCAGGCTCCAGGTCCAGTAAGGCTGAGCTGGTTCAAGGGAAGTCCCCAGGCTCTTGTGCAGGTCCAGAGTCAGGGCAGGGGTGGGATTACCCACTAAACAAGGTAAGCATGAGCTTAGTTGTGCTTACTTTCTGGTCTGTATGAACCATTTCACATGTTTTTCATCATCAAAGGGATGACCCATGTGAAATTCTTCACTCCCGATTAGCAAGTAAGCTCAAGTAAGCCTGTGCTTACCTTGCTTACTGGGTTCTCCATCTCTAACAGGGATTATAAATTTGAAGAGACATTGATTCTGTAGAAAGGTGCTGTGGAGTTGGCAGAGAGAAAGAAGCCAGCAATACTTAGAAACAGAACCTCTGATGTGGTGAAAAACAGTGAAACGGTTCACTACAGAGTAGTAATGAAGCACAAGAACCCCTGATCTTATTTTGCCTTATTACAACTTTCCTAAGGCCGCGCCCTTTCATACAGGTCCTCATGTTGTGGTGACCCCCAACCATAACATTCTTTTCGTTGCTATTTCATCACTGTCATTTGGCTACTGTTAGGAATTGGGCAACCCCTGTGAAAGGGTCGTTTGAGCCCCAAAGGGGTCGACCCACAGGTGAGAGCCACTGCCTTTATGAGGTCACTCTGCCTTTTCCTGTTACCATATTAACTCCTGAGGCTCCTTTTTCAGTGGGCGTGGTCTGTCCTGGGTTGTCCCTTTCATCATTGCCTTTCCGCTGGCCGCCTGGGTTAGAACGCATCCTACTGAACCGGTCAGAAGTCGGCCCGTGGAATGGATATAGTGACTACATTGTCAGAGTAAATTGAGGCAGAGCTTTTAGAGGCATGACCGTAGTCACATGGCCCTTGGAATACAGTCCCTGGTCATGGAGAGCAACCCTGACTTGCCCTTCAGTGCTGTGTCATCAGCCCTCATTTGGAACGAGGGAATTAACCTCTAGTCTCAACAAATTCTTCATCACTATCACTTGCTGCACATGCTGTTTTTTAAGTCATTGAAAAAAAAAGTCATGGTCTCAAGCTACAAACGGTGTGTTACAGCAGTAGTATTAAGGACATTAAAACGACTTATAAAGGTCCGTTCTGACTCCTAGCTGTAAATCTGTATGGGAACCCTTAGCCTCATCCTTCTCTCAAGGAGGGGCTGGTGGGCTTGAACCGTGGACCTTGTTGGTATCAATCTCATGCTTACCCTACAGGGCCACCAGGTCTCCTTCTTGCACTAAAGTAAGGCTAAATAAGTACAGCACACAACTGTTCTGACTTACCTACAAATTTGACCTAAGGACGCAACAGTTAGAAATGGATCTCACCCATAACCCCGGGACTGCACGCATGAACCAGAGAAAACAAAGGGCCCTTAGATCGGGTCTTTTCTAGGGTCTCCCACTTGTCTCAGTCATTTCGATCCACTGGATAGGAAATGTGATGATCTTTCTGATGCTGCGCATACAAACCTTCCTTCCGCTGTCATGAGCATCCTGGATCATTTTCTTCACCTCGTTTGCATAAGCAGTGGCTGGGTCGGGGTGGTCTTCTCTGTATTTGCCTCTGTAAGTGTCTGGATGTGGGGCCTAAACACAACAATGCAGGTTTGCTTTATTTGCTTGTTTGGCAAATGAATTTTTTTTTTAAAAGGCATACTCCCATAAAGGCATAGCAGAAAGGTGACCTTGGTTTGAAGTTATTCTTGGTTCTTTTGCTATACTTTTTTCTTAACATTTTTGAAAATGGCACATCAGCAGCTATTTACGTGCCTTAGCTGCAGCCTTGTTAACTGTTTGGAACGAATCCAAACTCCTATTCACGGTACAAAGACTTCAGTTCTTCACGGAATTCAAAAATGGACTCTTTGTTATTAGCTCCCCGTTTTCCCCCAACTTCCCCTGCCATGTCCCCAAAAAACCATTGACACTAGGCATTTTTCCAATGATAATTACCCGAGGCCAGATTTGAAAGTACTTACCACATGCACAAATTCTTTCTTAACATGTTTGCCAATTTGAAATTTATATGGACTGATGTCAATTAAAGATGACAGATGACCATGATAAGCACTGAAAAGAAAAAGACCAGCGAGCAGTCACTCAAAGAAGGATGATTTGGGATACATGAAAATCGTATTGCATATCATCCAGAAAGACTCTCAACATTGATGCCAGACTTGACTACATTGGATCTAATATCATGATAAGAAGGGTTATTAATTTGTCCTGTTCTCCCTATACATGTAATAAAACACATGAAAAGGAAAGTATGTGCCTCACAAAAAAATTTCTTAGAAAACGAAAAGGCAACTAATCTCTTTGGATTATGTTAGATCTGATACATTGAATTTTCTAAATGTGTAAAAACTATTTTTATAGTCATGAAAAATTTCATGTGTTTAAATGTATTTGATAGTTCTATTCCAATACATTTAAAAGATAACCTTATATTGTCGGATGGTGTGGTAGAGCACATTTTCTTAATATGGCTCTTCCATACATATCTCTGTAATTCCTACCAAATGATCGGGTGGGAGCATGAAATAAGGTGTGTGTACCACCAATAGAAGGGATCAGTCCATTTTAGGCATCACTTCCCTGGCTATAAGAACGAGCTGTCTTGGCAGGAAGAATGAAAAATCTCAGGACCAATGGAAGAAGAGTGGTCGAGACCAGAGGCCAGGGCAAGAAGGGAGCAGCACTGAGACGCTGAGGAAGAACAGTGGGCAGGCTTCTTGACCCATAGAGGCAGAGGCCAAGGGGCCGTTTGGCTGAGAGCCTGAAGATCACAGAAATAGCGTAGGAGGGGGCCCCTGGTGATGCATCAGGCTGTTTACCACAAAGTCAGTAGTTCAAAACCACCAGTCGCTCCAAGGGAGAAAGACAAGGCTTTCTATGTCCATAAATAGTTACAGTGCTGAAAACCCAGAAGGGCAGTTCTATCCCGTGCTGTAGGGTCACTATGGGTTGGAAATGACTGGTCGAGGGGAGATGGTGCCGGAGCATCTTATTGCTGTATCCTTATTCGTAACGAATCCTGGCTTGTGGTAGCCTGTTAGCTCCCTTAGTGAGCCCCCGAGACTGTGACTTTTGTCTGATTTCTAGGTGGCCATGGCAATGAAGTATCAAACTCCGCAGAGAAATAGATGGAGCATCTTCACAGGAGTGTTTGGTGTCAGAGCAGGTCAAGAAAGATGGAGGGTGGAGGCATGCTGACCTCTGCCTTGTGGCAAGGGGCAGCCAGAGGTCAGGTATCCCCCACCCCGGTGCTGTTTGCACAAATGGGCATGTATGTGTTGGGGTGATTTCTAAAGGATGTCCAATTGTAAATATTGGGCAAATATTGGTTGGGAAGGAACAGGAGATCTTTTTGAGAAAAACTAAGGTTGAGTGGTAATCAGACGATGTGAAATTCCCTTTTTGGGGGGTGGGGGGTGGGTCTAAATGGGAAATCACAAAAGGTAAAGTTCAAAGAGGGCCCCTCCTTACCAGCTATGGAGAGATACTACCTGCCACAGTAACAATAAAGACTGGGTATGGGACAAAGGACCAGGAGATCACTGGATGAAAGGGAGTGCTCAGGGTCCACTCCCACACCAACAGTAAGCAAGTGAACTGCAGGGGGATTCAACACGAACAACTCTCAAGGTAGAGGGAAACCCTGACAAATATCTTTGTGATCTAGGGAGAGCTATAGTAACACAGCTTTGAAAACAAATCATACCCGAACCCTACTTATCGAATTTCATTAAAATTAAAGATTACTTTTGCAGGGTATCATGCACAAAGTTGAAAGACTCATGATAAAACTGGGGAAAATATTTCAATTGTCTCAGACTCAAAAGTGGTTCTGAGTTCTGGTTGCAAAGTATGACTACTTGGGTGATGTGAAAATATCTACTGTTGCCTTAGACCTGTAGAAATGATATTTTAATTAGTGTGCGGTAAGCTTGGACGCTGGCATTTTATAAAAATTTCCCCAGTGAATTCTACATTGCAGTCCAGGTTGAGATCTTCTGATCTAGGATATAAAAGCAAACACACACGCACCTACACACAGAAATCCTGAAAACTGGGCACAGAAAACAAAGATATAATTCTCAGAAGAGAAATCACAAATACACAATAAGTACATAAAAAGATACTCAAACTCTTCATTAAACAGCTAGAAATTAAGACAATAAGAGATAACATTTTAGCTCAATTAGACCGCCACAGATTAGAAAGCTGGATAATTTAAAATCTGGGGGAGGATATAGAACTGGGGGACAATGGCAATGTGTTCAACTATTAACCAAAAGGTCAACAGTTTGAGCCCACCAGCTACTCCGTGGGAGAAAAGTCCTGGATCTGCTTCCGTGACAACCCAGGACCCCCTTGGAGGCATTTCCATTCTGTGCCACAGGGTTGCTATGAGTGAGAACCCACTCCACAGGACACAGCAGCCACCTGTTTGTAGGCATTGATCCCCAAGACCTTTTCAGACCTAGACAAAATTGCTGACTGCAAGGTTTCTAGGGTTGGTGAACCAGACGCCCATCCCTGGAGGACGTGCCATGCAAGTCAGAGCTGCACCATTCATGTGATTGCCCCTGGTGTCCGTATCTGGCTAGTGAGCATTTGAAGTGCTGCCATTCTGAACTAGGATGTTCTATCATTGTAAAGTACACACCAGATTTCAAAAAAGACAAGAACATCAAACATCTCCCAATTTTGTAAAACAACTCACAAATTGCTCACTAAAGATGAGCAGATAGGTGCAAATTTACTTTGCGTATAGGATTGTCTAGGAGCCACCGATGGCGTAAGGGTGGCCTGCTTGGTTGCTATCTGCAAACTGCTCAGTGGGAGAGAGACAGGGCTTTTTACTTTCATCACAGTTGCGTGTTGGACACTCAGAGGGGCAGGTCGGCCCTGTCCTGTCGGGTCGCTGTGAGGTGGCATGGACTCACCGGCAGTGAGTGTAGGGTAACCTGCTCCTCATCCAGGGGCAGCAGTCACATTATCCTGGACGGTTTTCTGGACTATAGCAGGCACCGAGTAACAAGGTAAGCACGCTTGCGCTTACCTACTAATGGGTAGTGAACTTTCCCCTGGCATAGTAAGCACATTAAATTCTTGTTTACTTTGCTTACTGGGTAAAGGGATTGTAAATTAATGGAGGTGTGGAATCCATTGTTGTTGGAGAGAGACCCATGCCAGCCATATCTAGAAGCAGAATCTTGATGGGGTGGAAAAAATACGAAATTGTTCACTACAGATTAGCAAGGAAGCCAGTGCTCACCTTACTTATTGGGAAATCCGCCCTAGGCTGCAAACAGTATGGAAGCAAAATTACCAAATCTTTCTGTGGCACTACCAGGTGAGCTCAAACCCCCAACCTTTAGGCTAGAGTAGTCCAGGGCAAACGATCTGAGATACCCTGGGAGCTAATGCAAACATGGGAGTTCTTCAAGAAAGAGAGAGGCAGTATAATTGGAGTCCGAGGAGATGAAGCTGGAAGCAGAATTCAGAATGCTGTGATTTTTGCAGCTAGAGGGCGCCACCAATCACCAATCTTTAGCCTCTGCTAGAAGCTAGACCATGTGAGGAATGGCTTCTTTTCTAGAACCTCCTAATTCCTTGGTCTTAGAGCAGTGAGACAAAGGCTTCAACCAATACACAACAGAGAGGGGCCTATAAAGGCACGGTGGCCCAAATTTGATTCAATCCTGCATCTGCCGTTAGGGAGGGAGTGGAGTCCAGGGAGGATGAGGAGTAAAACGACCTCCCTAGTCAAAATGGAAACTGCCGGGTTTCTTGTCATTTTCTAATGGGAGGAAAGCGATACTCATTGGTTTACAATCCCAGATAAGCTCTAGAAAACAGAAATAAAATGTGATAAATACATATTTGAAATGCCACATCAGTGGTAACTGTTGATGGCCATAAAGGAGAAAGTACTAAATTCTACTTGACTGTTTTCTTAAACATTGGTTCTTAATGGTGACTTTTCAAATTTTTGCTAGGGGAGAATCTCAGTAGTGAAGTGGATCCTTAGGTTGAGAAATGAATTGCATTTTATTTTGAAAAGCATTAATTGATTAGTTAATTACACATGGTAGGAGTCCACTAGAACACACGGTGTAAGCCCTGATTCATGTGAAGCTCATGAGACCACTCAGTACATCACTTATTATCAGGGTCTGAGAAAGAACTGACCACCCTCTGAGTTTAAGCTTAAACTGCTGTCGATATACTTCCTCCCCATACATGCTTACGGTATGAGTGTGGGTAGTGCCAATATAACTATGTCTTCGAAGAGTGTCTTGCCTAGAAATCTCGCATCCAACACTTACTGGTCCAGGGTGATGACATCTTGGTGGCCTCGGTACTGCCGAGCCAGGCGTAAGGCTAAGTCATTGGCTTCAGATCTATTAAGATAACACATCAGAGAGAGGACATGTGACATAAACCCTTTAAAAAATATTTCAAAATACTGTTGAAGAGTTGTAAAGTAATGAATTGCAAACCTCTCTTCCCCCTACAGTACAATCTCACTCACCAGTCTAGTAATGTTCAATAAAGAACGAGATGTTTTTTAATTAGGAATGGGATGCACAGATGTACATTTAGCCTAGTAAGACTGAATGATATCGTTCATTTCAAAATTTAGCCCCATCCAGCCCCCTCTGGCCAGTGCTGACTATCTTTGAGTAGTAGACTGGTCTCAGTGGGAGGAACTGGAGGGCTCATTATTTTGGCTACCAAACAATGCTGTATTGATCCATTGTTTGGTTAATTTCCTAATCTATCAAATGGAGGAGACCATTTTTCAATCTGGCTCAGAGAGACAAAATATACTATCAGGCACAGAAGAAGAAAAAAACCGCTGTGGAATGTTTTCTCTATGCCAGAAATGACGCTGAGGATTTTATTGGTAGTTATTCTCAAATGAACTCTGCTGGGAAAATATTACCACTTCTTTTCCATGGAGAAGGAAATAATCTTGGGTTAAGTGATCAGAATAAGGTCTCACCGCTCTTGGGAGACAGACCCAGTCTTCAGAGTTAAGCCTGTCTGGCTTTGAGGACCACATTCTTGTAACTGACCCGGGACCTCTCACCTACGGACTTTAGGGGGTAGCGCTGTTTGGGACTAGTCCTTTTTGACAGCATAGGGTTCTTCAGAAGTGCAAATTGACATATATTTATTGAGGATATAACTCTAAGTTCCCAGGCTTCTGAATAAACCTAGAAACAGCAGTCTGGTGGTTAACCTGGGCCTGGTACCCAACTTTTTATCACCATGGTTTATTTGGAAGAACATGCGGAAACATACCCTTCAGTATCCCTGGAGATGAGATACTTAGGTAGTAAGTTAAGTTCAATCTTAATTTCTCACCAAATAAAAAGGGAACGATCTTCTGGTCATAGATTTGTTTTTAAAACTGCTCATTGGAAACAGAAGAATAAATCACATGTAATCAAACACTTAGAGAATTTCTAATTGCTAATTTTAATACATACGTATCTTTGAAATGCATTTTTATCTCTCTCTAGTTTTCTCTCTTGATAATGTTGCATTGAAAACTTTTCAACACGTCATTAGGTATGTGTTTTCAAAATCATACTTTTTAATGTCTTCATAATATTATATAGGATGGATATGTAAAAATTTGTATTTACAGAAGATGAAAATTAGAAAATATCCATTCCCTTGAATTTCTTCCTGTTTTCTTTTCCATCTGGGGGGAGCGTGGGGGAGTTGGCAGGAAGGAGGGGGATATGCACAAATGTCTAAGTACATACGCAACCTTACAAAGTTACAACCTGTTTTACAGTTCATTCATTCCTCACATTCCGCATTCAGCTTTTGAAAGAACCATCTTTGCCCATAAAACTTTTATCTACTTAGTCAATTGCCCAAAGAAAAGAGCATCTTTGACTAGTTAGGTTTTCTTAAGTAAATAGCAGACATGACCATTTTGGCCAGGGTCACTACCTAAGTCTCTCGTCTACGGGGATACTGAAGGGTATGTTCCCCCATATTCCTCCAAATAAACCATAGTAATAAAAAGTTAGGTGCCACGCACAGGTTAACCACCAGACTGTGCTGCTAGGTTTATTCAAAAGCCTTGGGACAGATTATCTGCCGTCTGATCTAAAATAGAAACCAAGAAATAAAATAGGAACCAGAAAGATCAGATCTCTGAGGTGTGGTATCTTAATAAAGGGCAAAGATCTCAGGAAGCCTATTTAGACATCTGTGTTCCACCAGGCCTCACGAAGAGAGCTGTATGTGAGCCAACTTGACATTGAGATTGGTGGGAAGGGGATGGACAGGTAAGCCAGACACATACCCTGAGTTTGTAAAAAAGCAAACACACAGTGTCTCCGGCAGGGTCGCTGACAGGCGCTTGGCGTACTCCACAATGCTGTCATGGAGGAACCGCGAGTTTGTGTTGAGCAGTTCCATCTGTTTCGCAGCAGCTTTGACCACCTTGGGGTGACAGTGTCCCACTGAAATGGAGGAGACGCAAGCCCAAGAAACATGTTACAGCTCCGAGAGCCTGGGGAATGAGGGGAATTCTGAAGCAGAGAAGGAAAGACAGAAAGCAAAGAACCAAGCTAATGTGGTCCCCTCTATGGCTCTTGCTGCAGCTTCTCCCTCTTGGATAGCAGCCACTGACATTCCTGGGGCAGCGATTAACAAATCGTCCACGTCTGCCTTGCCCCATCGACGTCTCCTTCCAAGCTCAGCAGGGCCCGGACACTTACCATGGGCGACATTGTTGATGCAGTCCAAGTACTGCTCGCCGTTCTCATCAAACATGTACTGCCCCTGGGCTCGCACTATTTTGATGGGATCCGCAGCAAAGAAAACTTTACACGAGGGCCTAGAAAGGAACACACACGGTTTGTCCCAGTAGGATGGCTCAGTATTTTTCCTGTTCAATAAAAGTCATCTCAGTGGAAAATTACAAATCCTTAAAGGGAAGGGGAAACATGAGTGATGGGCCTTTTTTGTTTTTTTCCCCATACCAGCCCAGAACACTTGATTTTAGTACTCCCTTCATGACACCCTTCCAATCTCTTATGGTTGTTCTATTAAATTGGCCTGGATTTGATGACACTATTCAGAGGCACGTAAATCAACTCTCTGTCAGTCCTAACGACCCACACAACTAACTAATTTTCCTGTGGGGAATCTTGTTGTATCAGGGGAAAAGGAAACAAAATTATAACACCATTTAATTCTTCTAAGAGCCCTATAAAATATGAAGTTATTACCACTCTCAGTTTCATAGGTGAGGGGGACAAGGCACAGAAAGTGAACAAAGAAAACCAAAATTTGAAGCTTATTTCTTATGCCATTGGATTGACTTACCTCCTCTCCCCGCCTCCCTCCCCCTCCCCGCGCAATCTAATATATAAAGAAATGAATGACTCTAAAGGCTTAATTTACAAAGAAATGATTAGTACAAATAATGTATAGTTAAATGCTCCTAAATGAGGGGATTTTCTAGGTGACCATGTGTGTTAGACAGGGTTCTCTAGAGAGATAAAACCAAATTCCTGATAATTTAATATATTTATTTATAAAGATAATTAGATATATAATGAGAAATGAACTGTTAAATCATATACAGATAAATATATAATACAAGAAATAAACAGTTAAATTAGAAAGCACTACAAATAGCTTAGTGTAACTCACGTCCATGAGAGAAAGTTGAGAGACTAGCAGTCCTTCAAGTCTCTGTCTGATGCCAGATCTTCCTCTATTTGTAGAGAGAGCTAGGCTATGTCAGCACAGCAGCCAATCACAAGGCAGGTCACCAACTGCCACTCCCCAGCTCCAGAGAAGTCTTAAAGGGACCTCAACTTACAGCAACACAGTCCACAGGATAGGTGTCCCACAGGCAGTGTAGCCTTTAAATTGAGGCACAGAACAAGCAAGGCAGCCGCACACTGGTCCGATGATCACAGAGCGAGAGACAAGAAAGGCAAGGCTCACCAAGCCATTTATCTCTCTGCCCTTCAGTGAATCCCACCTGCGTTTATCAGCCAGGCTGGCACAATAAACTATCTCACCTTGTCTCAAAATGGTACTCATCCTTAATCAATGGGATTTCCCATTTGTAAGCCATGAAGTTCAATTACTTATCTAAACCAGGGGTCACAAACTGCAGCTCTCGGGCCGTATGCGACTCTTCAGTACCTACATGCGTCTGAGAAATAGACTTGAAAATGGGTATTATTCAGATCATGGTGATTTCATTTGTCTATAAAAATTAAGGTGTGACTTTCAAATTTTAAATTGTTGTGAGGGACAAGAGTGACTCTTCGGTCTCAAAAGTATGTCGATCCCTGATCTAAACTATTGATCCACTCTTTAGAGCATACGACAAAATCCTTCATGACTTTTGGGCTATTTGGATGAACCTATTGTTATTAGGAACCTCCGAGGCAGAGTGACTCAATGTACAACAGAGCGAAGTAGTACCCGGTCCTCTACCTTCCTCACAATTGATATGCTGAACCATGGTTACAGCAACTGGGTGAACCCACATGTCAGGGCCCGTCCCTTTTTAGCTGCCCCTCCACTTTACCAAGCAGGATGTCTTTTTCCCAGGGTCTGCTCCCTCCCGATAACATGTCCAAAACACGTTAGATGAAGTCTCGCCATCCCTGCTTCTAGAAAGCTTTCTGGCTGTGCTTCTAAGAAATATTTGTCCTTTGGGGAGTCCACACGTGCCTTGGTGGTGTGGTGGTTACTCAGCATTTTGGAAACCATCAGCTGCTCTATGGGAGACAGATGAAACTTTCTACTCCTATAAAGAGTTACAAGCTTGGCAACCCACAGGGGCAGTGCCACCCTGTCCTACAGGGTCGCCATGAGTTGGCATCAATTCCCATTTGGTTTTTGTCAGCCTGGTGCTTTCAATACTCTGCCAGTATCCCAATTCAAATACATCATTCGTCCCCGGTCTTCTATATCCGTCCCACTTTCATGCGCCTATGAGGCAGTGGAAAATACCACGGCTTGAGTGAGGTGCACTTTCTTCTCAAAGTAACATTCCTTGCTTTTTAACACTCTAACGAGGTCTTGTGTTGCAGATTTACCCAAATACAATGCATTGTTTGATCTCTTGACTGCGTCTTCCTTGAGCACTGATTGTGGAGCCAAGCAAGAGGAAATCTTTTTTTTTTTTAATCGTTTTATTAGGGGCTCATACAACTCTTATCACAATCCATACATACATCAATTGTGTAAAGCACATTTGTACATTCATTGCCCTCATAATTCTCAAAACATTTGCTCTCCACTTAAAGCCATGGCATCAGGTCCTTATTTTTTCCCTTCCCTCCCCGCTCCCCCCTCCCTCATGAATCCTTGATAATTTATAAATTATTATTTTGTCATATCTTGCCCTCTCTGATGTCTCCCTTCACCCACTTTTCTGTTGTCCGTCCCCCAGGGAGGAGGTTATATGTAGATCCTTCTAATTGGTTCCCCCTTTCCAACCCACCCTCCCTTCACCCTCCCAGTATCACCACTCACACCACTGGTCCTTCCTGAAGGGATCATCCATCCTGGATTCCCTGTGTTTCCAGTTCCTATCTGTACCAGTGTACACCCTCTGGTCTAGCCAGATTTGTAAGGTAGAATTGGGATCATGATAGTGGGGGGAAGGGAGGTACCATTTAGGAGCTAGAGGAAAGTTGATGAAATCTTTGACATCTTCAACCTTTTCGCCGTTTATTGGGTTGTTACCAACTGGTCCAGTTGTGAGGATTTGGGTTTTCTTTACAGGTGTTGTAATTCATACTGAAATCTTCAATCCTTGGTCTTCAAGGCCTTCTCAATTTCAGCAAGCAACCTTGTATCATTTATATCATAGGTTGTTAAGCCACACTCTGATTCTGATGCCACACTCATTTCATCCAGTCTTTGTGGTGATTTGTCCAGCATACAAGGGTAATATACATGGTGCAAGGAATCGACCTCGATGCACACCTTTCCTGATTGGAAACCACACAGCATTCCCTTTTTCTCCTGCACAACTGCCTCTTGAGCCAGGTACAGGTTGTGCATGCGCACAATGACATCTTCTGAAATTCCAGTTCTTCTCAAGGCTCTCCATAGTCAGTCATGATCCGTACAGTTAAATGTCTCAGCATCGTCAACCAGTCACCTAAGTATCCCATGGCTTATTATTCCCCTTAGTATGCCCATTCCATTTTGATACTGTCTTGATTTCCCCTCCACTTGGATGTTCGGCAGCTACACCATGCATTCCCTCTTTGGGCTTTGCAGTTGTCATCATATTAAAAAGAGAGAGAGAGAGAGTGTTGGGCAGAGGGATGGGGAAAAGGTAGACCTATGAAGAAAGAGAAAACAAACTAACCCATCGTTCAGTACCAGCACAAGCACTCGCGACTGAACACAAATGAAGGGGCAGTGCATGGGGCTCTGCGAGATCAAGCTGTGTTGGGAAGTGGGCTAGCCACTCAGAATAAAAAACACAGGGGGGTGGGGAGGAAGAAAATTAAAAGGGAAGTAAAAGAGGAGGAAGACAAAATTTAAGTGAAGAGATTAAAAAGTGGGAGGAGGGGAGGGCAGGAAAAAAGTGGCATCGCACTGGCAATGGGGTTGGGGCTTACTGACTGCTGGGAGGAGGAATGTATGGTGTGTTCTGGTCATCAGATTCTGTGCGATTGTGTAGGTGTGGAACCACCACACATTCTCTGCCTGACAATTACTGGTGCAGCCCAGGGTGAGCCCTGGCTCTTGCCCCAATAAGAACACTCTCTGTAATAATTCAAAAGGGCCATTCACAGCTCTGACAGCCTCATTATTCACGGTTTTCATTTGCTTCCTATAACTTGTTCACTCCCTATAATTGTTACGTGATCTATTAAAAAAATTTTTTTTTCCTTTGAAGCTCTGAGTTGGACACCAATATCCATTTTACTTGATTTTTCAGGTCTTTGTTGTAGAGGGTCCGGATATTATATTTGCTGAGCTTACCATCTTGGCCCCTCCCTTGCTGCCCCTTTATCAAGCACGCGTTCTTTTCTGAGGTCTAGTCTCTCCTGAGAACATGTTCAAAGTGAGTGAGGCGAAGTCTTGACAGCCATGCTTCTTAGGAGCATATTGGCTGTACTGCATCCAAGAGAGCCAGAACTCCCATAGGCAATCCTATGTTTTAAAATTCCCCAAGATTAGCCTTTTTATATAGATGCTTTGTTCAGTATCATCAGTAAAAATTAAAATAATATTTAATGAAGATTTTTGTTGGTTCTAATTCAGCTGTGAGTTTATACCTACGAATGAGAATCTGAGGAAAATTCTTTGTTAAGAACGCTGTAATGCAGTGACATTTCTTAATAAGGCGTTTCTACCCAAGTCTCTCCAACCCCCACCAAATGATTGAATGGGACTCCACAAATGGGGTGCGTGGAACACTTATAGAGGGATTGGCTGGTTTTCATTACTTCCCCCTACCCGACCCGACCCCACCCCATCCCACCGCCTGCTATAAGGATAAATCATGTTTGAAGCACTATAAGGATAAATCATATTTGAAGCACTATAAGGATAAATCATATTTGAAGCACTATAAGGATAAATCATATTTGAAGCACTATAAGGATAAATCATATTTGAAGGATCAGCATGGAAAGAAACCCCTAGGACCTTGGAAGAGACCTCTGCCTTTAGTGGTAGACGCTGTGTATCAGACACTGTGGCACGGACACTCAGAGAAAGAGCGCCACGGCTCGTCTCATCTGGACCAAGACCATGGGACTATGTGACAGACAGGCAGCGGGGCTACTTGGCTATGGAGGCAATGTCCAAGGGCGATGTGGCTAAGAGACTGAGAACTGGAGAGAGACTTGGCTACC